AGCACGCCAAGTTCATGTCTGAGCGCGGCATCCTTGTGAAGGGCGTGTACGAAGTATGGGGTCACTCAGCTAATCCTGGTGACTACAACGAGCTTGTAGCATCGGTAGAAAAGTTTGAAGGCCCACAGAAATTGCAAATTCTTCAGGATGCTAATATTTCGTGGCGCATCAACGTGGCTGTCTTTGGTAAGAAATTAAGCATGGAAGAGCAGCACACACGTCGCGAACGATTTCGAAAGGTTCTTCCGTTTGCAGGTCCTGTGCAAATGAAGAACCCAAACGAGACCTTTCTTGTACTAGAAGAGCTGGGTCTGGACCAGGACCTGCATCCGGACATGAAACCCAAACAGATATTTCTTCTGCGGGAACTTGCTGGTAGCGAGAAAAACCGAGGACGAGGCGGCGCAAGAGATCTAGTGGACCTTCAGACGTTGAAGCGTAGAGCGTACATTGGTCCCACGTCGATGGAGTCAGAAATGGCGTTATTAATGAGCAACATGGCACTGGTTCAGCCTGGAGACGTAGTTATAGACCCTTTTGTTGGAACTGGCAGTGTCTTGATTCCGTGTGGAACACAAGGTGCTATGTGCTACGGTACAGACATTGACATTCGAGTACTGCTTGGTACTGGTGTTGGGGTCATGGGCGCTGGCGTTGCATTAATCGAAAAAGAAGTCGATATCAGACAGCGCATCAACGTGTGTACCAATTTCAAGCAATATAGACTCCCACTTCCAGAGCTTATACGCGCTGACAACTCCATGTCTCCTCTTGTGACACGTTGCAAAGATTTTTTTGACGCAATCGTTTGTGATCCGCCGTATGGCATTCGTGCTGGGGCTCGTAAGAGTGGTCGGAAACACCCAAGCAGAAATGATATGAAGATGACGATCAAGCAAGAAAATTATATTGCTCCCACTCAACCATACGCTGCTGAAGATGTGATGAAAGACCTTCTCGAGTTTGCGGCTCAAACGTTGCGTGAAGGTGGGCGACTCGTGTATCTGTTGCCGACCACATACAAGTACAAGGACTCGGATCTTCCTCGACATCCTCATCTTGAGGTAATTGCAAACTCGGAGCAGAAACTTACAAAAAAGTACGCTAGGCGTCTCATCACGATGGTGAAGCGTACGTCGAGTGTAGGAAGGGTTAGAATGAGTAAGTGTGTAATTCAGAGCAATCCGGGCAATCTCAGTTTTGCAAATCTACGAGAGAAAATTCGGAAACGCAAGTCAGAAGATTGAAGGAATAGAATAGCATAAAACATAATCGAGTGAAGTTCAAAACGAGAAAGGTAAACCATTTTCGTTGCTAGCAAAGTACAATAAGCAACGAATGGCAATGTCGCTGTCGTTTATCTTGTGTCAATCTGAGGAAGAGGTGACTTCTTGCAGTGGTTTGCACTCGATAAAGAATGAGGAAACGTCCAGTGCCGTGTTCAAGGCAAATAAAATTTGTGATTCAAGAAATACAGCCAGAAAATCGAGTACTGAGGCCCAAAAACACAATGAAGACAGCGATGATGGCAGTATTTTAATCATTTCGCACGATAGGTGCGGATAATTTTATAAACGCGCAAGCCATTTACTTCATTTACGTTATATGTTATCTACAACAGGACGCAACACGTTCGTAAATTGCAAAATATTCGCCAGCGTCGCTACCGCGATCGAAAGAAATTAAACATGTCAGTGCTGCAAGCCAACGCTGACCAACTACATCAAGAAAACGGAGCACTGGAATTGGCAATTATAAAATTTCTTAATTCTTGAGCAATTGATAAGCATTTTGAGCTTTTGCATTCCACAAAAGTATTAGCTCGTACATCAGCTGAGTATAATAATCAGATTATCTTAAAGCAAATCCTTCTTTTTGATACGAAATTCTCGAGAAACAGATAGACTGAGAAGACCGAAGAAACATTTTGATGGGACTGGTAATACTCATATAAAATACCAGAAATTCATATTGCTATATTTCGAAATTGTAAGTATCGGTGGATAGCTTACAATTAATTGGTCGAGCTTACGCCATACAAGATCCGTTAGAAAGATATTTCATCGACACTGCTAAAATCGCCTGTTTTGTCATAGGGCTACAAAAGGGCAGAATTCGACATTTAATGGTAATGACTTGTCATGTATCTGGTCCTTGCATCAGTATATTTAAAGCTAAAACTTCGAAACATATAATACTTAGTCTTTTGGCACATCCTCACTACATGTCAAAATCAACACTTCCAATATAAGATTCACAAGAGGATCAGCTTTCAACTTCAATTGCCTTCCATGAACTATACCTCCTGCCAAGACAAATTATGTGACTTCATGTGTATCGAACTGGATGCCAAAATAACTTCTCACTTTTGTTTGATGACACATTGTTCTTTCGAAGCATTATAAATATCTGATGCTTTGATGAGGCATTTTCAATCCAAGTGTTGTCATGTAATGAATATGTACAAGTAATTCGAAAATAGCCAGCAGTAGGCCTTTTGTCTGAACCCATATAAACATCTGTTGGGTCTGTGAGATACCGTACTGCCACGCGTTAAGACCAGCACAGAATAAGTCAAATCATCTCTGCCATAGCCCTAACTGGAGCTGGCCCAGTATTTGCTGGAGCAATGTATTGACTCTGTGTGTGTTAGTATTGATGACCTAGGTGTAGAGCCTGGATCCCGAACGCTAATATTTTAGGTACAGATACTAAAAATAAAACTTTCACCTAAGCAGACGACCCATTGTGACCTCATAAGCACAAATGATTCGCCAATTTAAAATTCAGCCAATCATATACGTTGACTCATTTTTGTTGTTGTCGCGCCGTCTTTTGGCGTAATGGCTGGGGCAGGCAAAGATAATTGCCAGAGCTTGCAAGCAAAGCACCAACCCTCGAACTACATGATGACGTTGTCCCGAAAAGCGGGTACTGCGGTGCCAACGCGTTCAGAGACGTCAGGACGCCAACATATTACTGCTACTAATACCTTTGAGACCTCAATTCCGGTCACTACCACCATCGCCACGAAGGACGTGATAAAAGGATCTGAATCGTTTGACATGCGCAGCCAAACTTGTGTCGAGTTTCTGCATATAATGAAAGAATTCTCTGAGAGTTCGTGCGATGCTAGTGAGACTGTGCAACGTGTGGATTCGCTTGTAAGTCAAGACGAACAGCTGCTTCGATTGTTTCCACTGTCACGTACGAAGGAGGATAACGACGCTATGCGAAGATCACAACGAGCATGGGAAGACAACGATAGTGAGGCATTTGCGAGAATAGAAACGAGAGATGAAGACAAGGAATTGGAAACTCAAGACGATCTTCAGCGTTGGATGGATCTCGACCTTGGCGACCTTGATCACCACATGGACGTATTTGATTTTCAGCATGCGCAGCCATTGATACATAGCAGCATTGTGATATCAGAGGTCAACAATAGTGCGTGTCCAGCTACGTCTATTTCTATGCAGTCTATGAAACGTAGTACGAACAGTAACAAGCTACAAAAATCTACTGAAGCAGCAAATAGTACGTCAGCATACCCGCGAGAAAAGAAAGCAGTAAGCGTATCACAAAGGCCGCCTCTGGATATGTCCAATTCAAAGTCACTGCTAAATGCCAGGTCTGATACATCAGCACTCATAAATCACGACAATGATTCGGGCTTTGCACCTGATAGGGTAGCTCATCCGCCGCTGAAACGTGCCAAACTTCAGAGACCATCGAGTACACCAGCACTGCGTGTCTCTGTATCGTCCGACACAGAAAACAAAGCTGATACAGATGACGAGAGCAAGGTGGATGAGGATGAAAATGGTAATGTCTGGGGGATGGAAAATGATGGTTACGAGCACGATTTGCTCTCGTCTATTGACCACAGTGTCCTGTGCGATCGCGAAAATCGTTTTCTTCAATGGGACTTAGAAGTGGCTCATCAGCAAGAACAGCAAAGATCGCAGACAAACGCGTCTGACCCAAGTGTGAATGGCATGACTATTGCTACAAGTGCTGGTCTTACGGGTCTCACAATGATCGAAACTCACCGTCCTCTGCAACAATCCAGTCAAAAGGTCATGGCTTCTAGTCCTATGAGTAGTAAAAGCCCGTCAAACGTTGAAATTGTCGAAGACTGGAACAGTTTAGACTTTGGTACGTTCCAGAATCGCACTGTGAGCCACATTTTGAGCACCTGTCTGCATAAACGAAAATTGCATCATCCTTACAAGAATCAAGTACAACTAGTAAACTTTCGCGTGCCAAGCAATGGCGATGTGCCTGCAGGACGTGTCGCTGGGTCGCATCCGCACCAACTTGGTGGGTCTTTGGCAACGAGTCTTGCTTTTGGTGGTCAACAAAATAGTGGGGATGGCCTGGATGGATCAACGCTCAATGGCTTTGTGCCTTTGTTAGCATCTGGCCGCGAAAATGTTTTAACGGCAAAGTCACCGGGTAAGGGGGAGAAAAAGACGCCGAAGAAACGTGAAGAACGCAAACGACTCATGACACTTAAGATGCAGGAAACATTTGCTGACTTGGAAGGGACATTTACTGAACAAGATCTGGATGTCAAAGGTATTGTAGGCCCTGGCGCTTCACTGTCTAAGATGGCGCTTTCAAAGCTCGAGAATTTACCATTGCCAGACCTGACAAACCTTCCGCAAGACCTTCGCGAGCTTAAATGTAAAATTGAAGCCACTGAGCACAAGGTGGAAGGCACAAAACATCGTCACCGTAAAGGGGGGCCGTGCCCGCGTTGTCAAGTGCAGAATCAGTTGCGTGCAGCAAAGCGTGCATACCACAAACGTGCTGTAGCGCACAAGAAATTACCACATGTCGTGGTTAACGCTGTCAATGATGAGGCTCAAGAGGCTGCAAACGCACAGGCGGCTGCAGCTGCGACACTAGAACTAGCGGGCAGTGTCACAGCAGCTATGAAGGCTGCCAGTGTTGGAGCGAGAAAAGGAAGTGCAACTTTATTGACAAACGCAGCATCAAATCACGCTGTATTGGCTGGGATGCTAACACAAGTTCAACGATCTGCCGCATCCTCCGTGTCATCACCATCGGGTTCATTGTGTTCGACCTCTTCTGTAGCAACTACTGTTACTGTTGGATCTACTAGTGGCTCCTCGTCATCATCGTCTTGTGGTAGCGTATCACCGCCACCATTAAAATCTGCTCAGTCTATTCAGTCACGTTTTCGAATTCCATATAGCCAAAATTCGTCGACTACGTTTACATCGCCGTCATCTGCAACAAATTCGCCAAAATCGGCGACCAATTCGTCATCTCCCGATTCTCACGTGCAGCACGTTACGGTCACATCTGGATAAAATGGCAATAAGCTTAAGCAGTTGATAGGTGCAGCAACGCACAGTCACGGCGTATTTATCAGTGTATCAGAGCTTTCATCATACGCGACGCGTGACTTGCATTGCTCGGATGTGAAGTTAGGTAGTTTTGTACAGGAGACGAAATTGGAAGAACCACAACAAAGTTAAAAAAATTTAGAGTCGGAGTCGAAAACTACAAAAAAATATAGAGATTACTGTCGCGCTTAAAAATTACGCTATAATGGTAAAATTTATGTTTACAAAATCGTCTATTTAGCCTTGTGACTTGCTAAGAATGTTAGCATCGAGTAGTGCTAGACGCGCACAACGACGTTGCAACTTTTGCTCTGTCCACTGCATGCAGTTTGTCTTGATATCACGCTCCATTTTTTTGTAGTCGTTGCCGTGCTTATCAATGAGTTTGCGCAAATATTTCGCTTCTTCTTCGGATACATAATTCGCTACACGCTTGGGATTGCGTTCGTTGCCTAAAAAGTCGCTGTCAGGCACATCAAAGAGCTGTTCCTTGTCTGTGGCTTCTAGTGTTCCATCCGCATTCTCGATACTTGCACGCAAAACGGCATGCGCATTCGGATTAGCTTGTAGACCCAAATTGACATAGTTTTGGCGCGTAGTGAGATTATGATTCCAAATTTTCTGCACCTCGGGATCACGCACAAATTTGGTTTTGTATTTGCGTACTGGCTTTTGTTTGCGACGCTGAGGAACCTTGCCACGTTTCTTGATCTTCACACCCAGTCGAACCATCGTTTACGAATTCACTACCAGCCAATATGGCATTAAGAATTCATGTTTTTTAGGTACATATTAAATCCAATCACAAGCGAGAGATTATATCGAATAGTTCGATTGGCTGAATCATTACAATTCGCCATGACGCTTGCTTTCCCATCAATCACTGCACCAGCAGTGACTCGTAAAGTTGGAGTTTCAAGTGCTGACAGCAACAGGCCAGCACCTTGCAGTCTAATGAGTGATGAGAATAGCGATCCAAATTTGAGTCAGCGAGTACAGGCAGCAATTGATCGTCTACTTGGCGTGAGCTCCGCATTTAAAGACTTGCAGCCAGGAAAGGATATTCAGGTTTCTACGCGTGAAGAAACAATTGCAATGATGCAACATTACTTAAAACGTCTGAATTTAGGGGATATCGTAGACGATAGCTCTCCTAGAGCACTTTCAGTTGTCCACGTAGCGGGGACTAAAGGCAAAGGATCTACTTGCGCTATGGTGGAACGAATCTTACGCCAAGCTGGTTACAAAACTGGACTCTTTACGTCTCCTCATCTCATCTCACCTTGTGAGCGCTTTCGTATTAATGGTAAACCAATTACAGATAAGGTCTTTTTAAAGCACTTTTATGCCGTTTGGGATGGTCTTGAAAAAACGCAAGACCAGAGTGGATCGTACCCACCAATGGCCTGGTTTTTTCGTTTTCTCACGCTTATGGCACTGCATCTTTTTACTCATGAAAAAGTTGATGTTGTTGTACTAGAAGTTGGCCTTGGAGGACGTTTAGATGCGACGAACGTGTTTCGCAGACCTGTAGTGTGTGGAATATCAGTACTTGATCTGGACCACACGCGCGTGCTGGGTGGATCCATTGACCAAATTGCTTATTCCAAAGCTGGCATATTCAAGCCTGGTGTTCCGGCCTTCACAACAGCACAGGAGCCACTTGCGATGAAAGTGTTGGAAAAATGTGCTGCGAAAACTGCCACACCATTGACTTGTGTTCCAACACTCGATGAATTCGGACCTGATGGAGTGAATTGTCAACTTGGTCTGCACGGTGAGTATCAGCGCACGAACGCAGGTCTTGCCGTGGCATTAGCGTCTACATGGCTGCGCTACAAACGTAATCAGGCCACATTTGCCCAGCTAGAAGTGGCCAGCGCACTTGAAGCAGTGGTGAAGGAAGGACTGAAGCAGGCATTCTGGCCAGGCCGAGCACAGCTGTGGGATGATAAAATACACAAGATGTGCTTTTACATTGATGGTGCGCACACAAAGCGCAGTATTGAGTGCTGTGCAAACTGGTATCGCAAAACAGCAATCGAGACATCAATGTCGCGGAAGCGTGTGCTTATTTTTACAATTCATCACGAACGAAATGTGGCACAGCTTTTTGAATCGCTATTAACCTTGCACTTTGACTACGTCTACTTTTGCCCAACCAGCTCAGCACGCCCTAGTCTTGCAAAAGTCCATACTTTTTCAGAGGCTCTAATAATCGGTGGTTTCCAGCATGTGATTGATAATTATTCGTCGGAAGAATTAGTAATGCTTGATGACGTTGAAAGCGAGCGTCATCCGTGGCAAACGACGCTCTCACGTATCTGGTCTGCCTTATTGAAATTTCATACGATGGGAGGTCAAAGTAAATGTGTTGCGATTAAAGATTCGGTCATGGACTGCATACATGAGCTTCGAGCGCTCTCTCAGGAAGGTGCGACTTTTTTTACTGAGGGTAGAATAGCAACAGACGAGGGATGGGAGAAGTGGAGTGTTCTTGTGACAGGCTCTTTATATCTTTGTGGTGAGACACTGGATTTTCTGGGCTGGCAGGAGTAAGAGCTTGGCTTTGGATAAGGAAACGGAAGAACTCCATGAAACTTTCGGTGTCGTGTGCACTCAAAGCCTTCGTGCAGTCAACCTGTGAACCACGACAGACAGTTTAAAAAAAATAGTGAGATTAACTTCAAAATCAGTCTTGAAGAAGTGCATTGCATCGTGCAAAAGTCTGATAACTGCAAACATATTTCTATATTAATTTTGTGCTAAATTGTAAAGATCAATCGCAATTTGTGTGGCACACACACACCATGTCTATAGATTATCTGTACATTTCCAAACTGCCACCACTCCAATTCCTAACAATACCAGGACTCTATTTCACGTCATATATTCCAATGCTAGCGTATGACCTTGGAGCGCTGCAGCTGAAAAAGCAACTACGGTTGATGTTGCTATGGATTTTGACATCAGCCGCCTTGATCTCCGGCTCTCTGGAAGCCGTTTTGGTAAGTGGGGTGTGTGTTGGATGCGAGGGATGGCAAATAGCTGCATTTCTTATTCTTCGGTATGACTACAGAACCACGTTCTGTTTGACGGTTGACATAAACGTGTGCATGGTCGGGATGACATGAAATGGAGAAAGGAGAAACTCTTGTCTTACTTCGATACTTGCATGTAATTTCCTTGTATCCATGCGTACACCTGCATCGCAAATCAGCCTTCCCCACCCCACAGTGATCTCCTTCCTTCTTGATTGTAGACAACCAGCATGCTTTACTATTGACATTCATCTCGGTGCACTTCACATATCACCTAAATCATGGTTCTCTTGGTCTGCAAAATCATGTACTTTGATGTTGGCTATTAAGACAAATAATGGACTGGCTTCACTAATTGCAATCCTAAAAAATGGGTGCATTTATCCCCCACATATCAAACCCTTCTGAGCAATTTCAACCTTCGGATACTCCGATATCCAGCACATTAATTCTGACTACTTACCAGAGGGGATCAATGGATCATAGAAACGTCTATGGGAAGAAGAAGCCGAAGTTGCAGGATTCATCAATAATATTTATCAAAGTGATAGGGCAGTGTGCAAGAGGGGCGTATTGGTTTGTGCTGCAACAACATGGATGATCCACACAGGGTACCATCCACACCTAGCTATGTGTGGTACACACCCGGGGTATGATTCACACGGGGGAATTATCACACATTTTGGAAATAATCCACACGGGGGTACCCATCCACACAAAAACATATATATAATGAAAACAAACGCTACCAGTCTCCCTCTTGCGGCGGATTCAGCAACAACAAAATATGCTATCGCCGCCAGGCCATTGGATTTTCTTGGGACCATATGTTCTCGAAGTTTGGACTACCCCTACAATAGTACTTATGTTGTGAGTTCCAAGCATGCCGTGGCATCTGATTCAGCATAGCGGACTCGTTGGTTGAGATTTGCCAGGTCAACACGAGCAGTCCGCGAGTCTTTAAATAAGTTATGATTATCACAAGGTGGTGAAGAGCAACGAATCTTCTAAAGCACTAGACAGAAAGCTACTTTTGCTGCCGATGAAATGGAGATATGTACGCTGACCAGATATCCTTTCCAATTTCATGTATCATGGTGTACGTATTCATCCCTCGAAATTTGAGCGAGGCGCTAATGTAGAAAGCTGAGTACCAGGATCAAGTAATCGATACTCGAAGAAGAGACGTCTCTGTGATACACGGCTAGTCTCACGCTATGTAGTACGTTTTTAAACTTAAAGATAGTAGAATAGATAAATCAATATTAAGATAGGCTCAATTTTTAGATATATATAAAACGCTTCAAGTTAAAACTTGTGAGTGAAGAAGCTTTACATTCCATGTCATTTAAACTAAATCAAGTGCACCCGAAGATTTTAATGCGCGAGGTGCACGACGACTTAGTTGCATGTGCTATCACCTTTCGCCTTTTTTACGACCGATTCTGATATAGACTGTATTCTTTTGTGAGAAAATGGAATCTAAAACATTCACCGTTAACTTAAATGTCTTCGAAACAACAAAACACTGTCAACAAGCTCGTGCCTAAATTGGAATCGAGAGAAAAGGAAATTGGCGGTAAAAGGACCAAACGCAGGTGCCGAGCGCCTACGGAATTTGGACACTAAAATGGCCATGGATTGTCACGTAGCGCAGGCGAGGAAACGTTGGCGGAGGAAGGCGGAGTCGTTGGCGCAAGGTGAGCGCTGGCGGAGGCTGTTGGAGAGGAGGTCCTGCTGACT